TATAGTAAATCTGGTTGCAGTTATCATTGAGACAACGGTATGGCATATTTTTCAATGAAAATATTTATTAGCAGATTTCCGTGCTAAGTAATTTATTAATTCATGCTAACCACAGCCTGTAATTTCATTTTATGTGATGTGACATTCTAGATATACTTGCATTTTTCAATAATGTTGTTTGTAGGTGCTATTTTTATTAAAAAACATGTAAGAATGAGGTTTAATGAATTCGTTATGCACTCATGAGATTTTGGGTTTTAGAGTCTGAGATGTTAGTTCCTAACATTTATGCCATCCTCGTTTCAAAAACTACACTCAATTTGACTTCAGAGTAGTTATAGATACAAAAGAGGGTGTAATAAAGATTAAACACTCTGCAATTGATAAAAACTTGATGTGATATTGGTTTGCAAAGTACTAAGTCTTGTTTTATTTATATTAGATCATAATCCTAAATAATTAGTAATTGGTATTATGAAAACTAAATCATAAGCAACTATTAGGTTTCTGGGAAAAGAAACCTCTAGAACACTCTCACAAACACAATCGCAAGAAACAAAACAGAAAGAATATGAGTTTGTATTAACCAAAGAATCAATGTACAGGAGCTCTATTTATAGCGGTTCTGACCCTCTGCCCCTTATAACAGAAACCTTCCCAAACCGAGACACAACATTTCCATTGTTCAACCGATCAACTCCTTCTTCCACTCCCTTAACCGTTTGGTCCTTCACCATTCGGTACTTTAACGGTTAATACCGTTCAACCTCACTTCCCCCTGCCTTTCTCCTCCTCTCCTACACTTTTCAACCCTTATCATTACCCCCTACCTTACATCCTATCATTACTCCCCGCCGCAAAACAACCTTGTCCTCAAGGTTGGAACCATGAAACGTGATCTCCAGGCTCCTCTTCATCATCGTGTTATCATATGAAGGGTACCCATTGGCTGCTGTCCTCCAATTTAGGTTGGGAGGTTTGGATGGTGGCAAATCCTCCTCCCATGTCTTCCATTCTTCCTGGATTCTATCCAAACTCTGTGGCCAAAATGATAGTCCATCTGCTTCTGATCAATCTCGGCCATTTCCCCTCCAACGTCTTCCTCCTCGTCCTCCACCAATAGCACCACCCTCAAACTCCTCTCCGGACAGTGGTGTCCTGGACCGAACGGGTTGTCGCATCTAAAGCATCGTCCTTCTTCTCTCCGTTTCAAGAACTCGGCGTACGGCAGATACCGCGCGTTCCTCGCCCTATTTTCACTTTCCACCGTGTTTCCACCCTTCGACGCCTCGCTACCATTGTTCCCTTCCTTCCTCACCGAGCCCACACTCTCTGAAACTCCCGCACAGTTCTGGTTATTTCGATTTGGTTCGGTTCTCGTCACAGTTCCTCCTCCTCCTATCGGGCATTCCCACAACGATTGATTCTTGGTCGTAGTCCAACTTCTCGCCTTTGCACCGTGTTGCGCCTCTTCCATATCTTTTGCTATCCTTATGGCGCCATTAATTCTTGAGGATCATGTGGTCTTACTTGGCACCTGAGATCCTCCTGTTACCCCGCAAGGAAGTAACCCAACAATTGTTCATCTGAAATTCCCTTGGTCTGTCCCACCAATACTTCAAAGTCGTGCACATAGTCTTCCATAGTACCCACTTGTTTTATCGCCACCAGCCTCACGAAAATGCCACACCTATTCTTGCCTCCAAACCTGTAGATCAACGCTTCTTTCAGGCCTTCCCAAGAATGATTCTTAGCCTTTTCTTTCCAAAATTTGAACCAATAACTGGCGCTACCCTCCATACTAATGTATGCCAACTGCACTTTCTCTGGTTTCGTCACCCCTTGGATTTCAAAGAATTTCTCGGCCTGATTTATCTAGTTCAGCGGATCAAGCCCTTCGAAAAGGGTAAATCTACTCTCCTCTTCCAGCTGGGTTGCACTTCATGGCATTCATCCCCTCTCGCACCTTCCTCTTCCTCTCACCGGTCCTCCCCTCTTCCGTTGACAGATCCCTGGCTTCCATCCGAATTTCCAACTATTTGTCTGGCTCGCGTTCCCAACATCCTCATCAATTCTTGTAAATCTTTATGCGCCGCCGCCAGTTTCCCTTCCACTGCATTCATTCTTCCCTCCATGACATTCAATTTGCCCAATTGGATCCCGTAGCGCTCCTTGATCCGGCAGGTCGGACCAATTGTTAGGTTTATGGGAAAAGAAACCTCTAGAACACTCTCACAAACACAATCGCAAGAAACAAAACAAAAAGAATTTGGGTTTGTATTAACCAATGAATCAATGTACAAGTATATCGTTCTACGAGAGCTTAACCTCCCTCCTTAGACCAAAGCCTGTCTTTACAAAGAATTCACTCAATATCCAAAATAGAGTTACAGGAGATCTATTTATAGCGGCTCTAANGGGACGAAGTAAGCATTTAAGCCTTTTAAATTCTAAACTTGTAGTTTTCCGTAGTCTTTCTTTTGCTTTATGAAGGTTGAAGCATAAATTTTGTTTTCATTAGGACTTTGCCAAAAATCTCCAGTGAAGAATTTGAGCTGATATTTGATGAGATGGATGATAGTCATGATATAAAGGTAAAATTTGTTGTTTTGCGTTTGGTTATCTTCTATGCACATTTGTGTAGATGCATGTTTTGATGTAAATGCGTTTTTTACTTTCAGATCAACAAGGATGAATTTGCTGATATTTGCAATGCAATTGCTTTAAAATTTCAGAAGGAAGATGTTGTAAGTTCTAAGACTCCAAATTTAAAACATCTTGAAGTTTAAGTATACTTGTTGTAACACCTATGATACTTTGCAATATGGTTGCAGATGTCTTACTTTGAGTATTTAGCATTCTACGATTGGCCCAGCTCAAAGACATTGAAAGAATTTGTAAAGAGTGCTATGTTTGGATACATAGTGTCCTTCATTCTTATAGTAAATCTGGTTGCAGTTATCATTGAGACAACGGTATGGCATATTTTTCAATGAAAATATTTATTAGCAGATTTCCGTGCTAAGTAATTTATTAATTCATGCTAACCACAGCCTGTAATTTCATTTTATGTGATGTGACATTCTAGATATACTTGCATTTTTCAATAATGTTGTTTGTAGGTGCTATTTTTATTAAAAAACATGTAAGAATGAGGTTTAATGAATTCGTTATGCACTCATGAGATTTTGGGTTTTAGAGTCTGAGATGTTAGTTCCTAACATTTATGCCATCCTCGTTTCAAAAACTACACTCAATTTGACTTCAGAGTAGTTATAGATACAAAAGAGGGTGTAATAAAGATTAAACACTCTGCAATTGATAAAAACTTGATGTGATATTGGTTTGCAAAGTACTAAGTCTTGTTTTATTTATATTAGATCATAATCCTAAATAATTAGTAATTGGTATTATGAAAACTAAATCATAAGCAACTATTAGGTTTCTGGGAAAAGAAACCTCTAGAACACTCTCACAAACACAATCGCAAGAAACAAAACAGAAAGAATATGAGTTTGTATTAACCAAAGAATCAATGTACAGGAGCTCTATTTATAGCGGTTCTGACCCTCTGCCCCTTATAACAGAAACCTTCCCAAACCGAGACACAACATTTCCATTGTTCAACCGATCAACTCCTTCTTCCACTCCCTTAACCGTTTGGTCCTTCACCATTCGGTACTTTAACGGTTAATACCGTTCAACCTCACTTCCCCCTGCCTTTCTCCTCCTCTCCTACACTTTTCAACCCTTATCATTACCCCCTACCTTACATCCTATCATTACTCCCCGCCGCAAAACAACCTTGTCCTCAAGGTTGGAACCATGAAACGTGATCTCCAGGCTCCTCTTCATCATCGTGTTATCATATGAAGGGTACCCATTGGCTGCTGTCCTCCAATTTAGGTTGGGAGGTTTGGATGGTGGCAAATCCTCCTCCCATGTCTTCCATTCTTCCTGGATTCTATCCAAACTCTGTGGCCAAAATGATAGTCCATCTGCTTCTGATCAATCTCGGCCATTTCCCCTCCAACGTCTTCCTCCTCGTCCTCCACCAATAGCACCACCCTCAAACTCCTCTCCGGACAGTGGTGTCCTGGACCGAACGGGTTGTCGCATCTAAAGCATCGTCCTTCTTCTCTCCGTTTCAAGAACTCGGCGTACGGCAGATACCGCGCGTTCCTCGCCCTATTTTCACTTTCCACCGTGTTTCCACCCTTCGACGCCTCGCTACCATTGTTCCCTTCCTTCCTCACCGAGCCCACACTCTCTGAAACTCCCGCACAGTTCTGGTTATTTCGATTTGGTTCGGTTCTCGTCACAGTTCCTCCTCCTCCTATCGGGCATTCCCACAACGATTGATTCTTGGTCGTAGTCCAACTTCTCGCCTTTGCACCGTGTTGCGCCTCTTCCATATCTTTTGCTATCCTTATGGCGCCATTAATTCTTGAGGATCATGTGGTCTTACTTGGCACCTGAGATCCTCCTGTTACCCCGCAAGGAAGTAACCCAACAATTGTTCATCTGAAATTCCCTTGGTCTGTCCCACCAATACTTCAAAGTCGTGCACATAGTCTTCCATAGTACCCACTTGTTTTATCGCCACCAGCCTCTCGAAAATGCCACTCCTATTCTTGCCTCCAAACCTGTAGATCAACGCTTCTTTCAGGCCTTCCCAAGAATGATTCTTGGCCTTTTCTTTCCAAAATTTGAACCAATAACTGGCGCTACCCTCCATACTAATGTATGCCAACTGCACTTTCTCTGGTTTCGTCACCCCTTGGATTTCAAAGAATTTCTCGGCCTGATTTATCTAGTTCAGCGGATCAAGCCCTTCGAAAAGGGTAAATCTACTCTCCTCTTCCAGCTGGGTTGCACTTCATGGCATTCATCCCCTCTCGCACCTTCCTCTTCCTCTCACCGGTCCTCCCCTCTTCCGTTGACAGATCCCTGGCTTCCATCCGAATTTCCAACTATTTGTCTGGCTCGCGTTCCCAACATCCTCATCAATTCTTGTAAATCTTTATGCGCCGCCGCCAGTTTCCCTTCCACTGCATTCATTCTTCCCTCCATGACATTCAATTTGCCCAATTGGATCCCGTAGCGCTCCTTGATCCGGCAGGTCGGACCAATTGTTAGGTTTATGGGAAAAGAAACCTCTAGAACACTCTCACAAACACAATCGCAAGAAACAAAACAAAAAGAATTTGGGTTTGTATTAACCAATGAATCAATGTACAAGTATATCGTTCTACGAGAGCTTAACCTCCCTCCTTAGACCAAAGCCTGTCTTTACAAAGAATTCACTCAATATCCAAAATAGAGTTACAGGAGATCTATTTATAGCGGCTCTAACCCTCTCCCCCTTATAACAGAAACCTTCCCAAACCGAGACACAACATTTCCATTGTTCAACCGATCAGCTCCTTCCCCCACTTCCTTAACCGTTCGGTCCTTCACTATTCGGTACTTTAACGGTTAATACCGTTCGGCCTCAGTTCCCCCTACCTTTCTTCTCCTCTCCTACACTTTTCAACCCTTATCATTACCCCTACCTTACATCCTATCAGCAACACTTTAAGATATCCTAAATTACTCTATTAGAAATAATGAAGATATTATTCGACATCTTCTTATATTAAGAATTTAAGGTTATGCAAAGATCAATAAGACAGTCTCACAAACTTTTCATGCTAAAAATAAATGTTATGTTCTTTTATAAATTATCCAACACCATCATATTAAATGCGTGATTTAAATGTTAATGTCACATTGGAAGGACCAACCTGTATTGCTAAAAAACACCTTTCCCCTGTACTTTCAAGCACAAAAAGGGGAGGTCACATGTTTTTTTTTTTTAAAAAGTGAGTCTCAACTCTTTTGGTAAAAGTAAATTGTAAGGTGAGTAGGTCCTATCTATTCTATATTATTAGACAATCTTCCTCATAATAGTTGCATCATCCGCGAAACAAGATCTGGAATGAGAAGTTCAAGCCGTTTAGTGATGGTAGATGATATGGACTCTGCAACCTAGATAATTGATTGTTTCAGTAAACTTAGTAAATGTTGTCTGGGTATGTTTATCAAAGATAATTACAATCTAAACAGGTGAACAAAAATGCACCTTGTTCTTTGTGATTTAGAAGTATGATATTATATTATATTATATTATATTCCAGAGTTTTCTTTGGTGATATGTATTTGAACATGTGCCATGTCTGTAAGGTCCTCAACTTGTTACTCCTAGCTTATGTATTGTCATAATCCCTTCATTTACACCACAAAACAGACTTGTAGATGAGAATTACATTCCACTTATATATTATAATCTAACCTTATTCTTAGTCGATATGAGATTTTTAACGCACCTCCTCGCATTGAGGAATACCCCAAATTGATACCATCTTAGTAAGTGAGTTCACACATAATTTAACCTCACAAAACTAGCTTCTAGAATGAGATTGCATTCCACTTATATGTTGTATTCTAACCTTATTCATAGAAGACGTAGGATCTCCAACAAATTTTAATTACAGAATTAGGAGATTTAATTACATTCTATAATTAGGAGGGTTAATAGGCTGCAAGTATACTTTAATTTATTGTACAACATCATGATCTTGAATTATAGGGATAGATTGTGTCTATCATACATTAGGATCTTCCGTTACTAAGGTTTTTGTATTCTATTTAAGAGCAATTGCTCTTCTATAAATATTATCAGAAACAGTTTTTCTGATGTGTATGTTGTTACTTATTCAAATTTTGTATTAATTCACATTGCAGCTTGATATAGAAAACAATTCTGGTCAAAAGGTGTGGCAAGTGGTTGAGTTCATTTTTGGTAAGGACATCTAAACTGTGTATTTAGTTGTCATTTCTTTGATCTTGCAGTGAAGTCCTTCTTTGTACGATACAAGATGCTGCTGATTTTTTAAAGCAAAAAAATATCATTTTAGATAGCTTGAATTGAGTAGTTAAGCTCCCCCGACTCAAATCCTCTGCTTCAAATGTAAAAGAATATACTATATTATTTTGAATGTTTAAGTAAGATTTATATATTATGGCCAGGAGATGTTTTAGAGCCAGGATATTCAGTATAGTTTACATTAATTTTTCAATATTGCAGGGTTAAAAACAGACAAGAGAAAATAAAGAATTCCAAATTTCTTTGATTGATAGAAATTGTAATTTCTGATATAGATTGGTTGATTTTGATATTATTTATTTTGAAAAAATACGAGACAATGTGAGAAAAAAAAGAGTCAGGAATAGTCGTAAAGGTGTTTTTTTTGGGTTCTAAGTAAACTAAAACTTTTTATTCAGGAAGCATGTTTTTAAGAAAAAAGAACTGAGTGAATCTCACTTATAAATGCATCTCATAGGGATTAGCTTTTGCTGAGATTTTTATTTTCTTCTATTTTATTCAGTTTTACATGACATGCTTTTGTGCTTGCATGAACAAATAATTGTAGCACAGAATTTTAGGCTATAGCTTGATTTTATATATTTATCTGTGCTCAGTGCACGAGAAATAAAATCAGTTATGGGAATGTGGTATCCCTTTTATTATTGTTGGTTCAAATACTGTTGACAACTTTGGGGATTCTTTATTTTGCTTTGGTGCATTTTATTTTATTGTAATGCACAAAATGTTATGCTTTTGCTTTCTCATATGATCATTCCTTGCTTTCTTTCAGGGTGGATATATGTAGTAGAAATGCTTTTAAAGGTTTATGCATATGGATTTGAGAACTACTGGCGGGATGGTCAAAATCGCTTTGATTTTGTTATCACGGTGATAATTGGTAACTTATTATGGTGCTTGAATACTTTTTGCTCTTTAAACATGTGGTTGAATGCATAGAATTTGTTCTTTTTCCTTACCATGAGAAGGAGATATTCCAGTTTAATTTGGTTCTGTTGAAATACAAAACCAAATTCAATCCAATTCAATCAGATTAAAAGTAGTTTGGATTAGATTGAGGGGTCTGTTTGAACAAATTTATCCATAAGCTCCTTCTAAAAGAAAAATTGAAATTAGCTTCTCCAAAAATCAAAAATCAAAAATTTTCTAGCATCCTTAGCATTATTGTAATTATAGTCACTCATATGGTTGCTTTCATTTCAATAACTATAAGGGATGTTTACTTGGTTTTATGTGCTAGTGAAAAAGGAAATGTGTAGTAACATAGTTCAGTTTTTTAAAATCCGTACCATGAAATAGTGTCAGAGAAAAACTGTTTCTAATATTGTTCATAGAGGACCAATTGCTCTTAAACAGAATGCAAAGACATTAGAACTGAAAATCCTAATTTATGATTGAATTAATCTATCCCGACATTCAAGATCAATGATCCTATACAATAATTATAAAATATACTGTCAGTCTATTAATCCTCCTAATTATCCTCTTAAATATGAAATGCAATTAAATCTTCTAATTATGTAATTAAAACTGTACAGGAAAATATTAACTGCAGCATAAATCATGGGATTCTGAGAAATAGTAGTGGTAGTCTGGGATGTATGGAAATAGAGGAAACTGTAAACAGTAGGATTTAGTTGGGCTAAATTACATACAGTAGTTTGAGTATTATATTTCCCAGAAAAGTATTGTACAAGCTTAAGGAAAAGTATTGTACAAGACCTCTGAATTTCATTTTGGTGAATTTTAAAACCTCTGGTACTGTATGATATTGAGTGTTGGGCAATAAAAAGTCAACTGGCGAATAAAAAATGAGAATCTTTGTTGAGTCAACAGATAAAATAAATAAAAGTAAAATATTAGGAATGAAGGCATAAGAGTCAGTTGNCCCTACCTTTCTTCTCCTCTCCTACACTTTTCAACCCTTATCATTACCCCTACCTTACATCCTATCAGCAACACTTTAAGATATCCTAAATTACTCTATTAGAAATAATGAAGATATTATTCGACATCTTCTTATATTAAGAATTTAAGGTTATGCAAAGATCAATAAGACAGTCTCACAAACTTTTCATGCTAAAAATAAATGTTATGTTCTTTTATAAATTATCCAACACCATCATATTAAATGCGTGATTTAAATGTTAATGTCACATTGGAAGGACCAACCTGTATTGCTAAAAAACACCTTTCCCCTGTACTTTCAAGCACAAAAAGGGGAGGTCACATGTTTTTTTTTTTTAAAAAGTGAGTCTCAACTCTTTTGGTAAAAGTAAATTGTAAGGTGAGTAGGTCCTATCTATTCTATATTATTAGACAATCTTCCTCATAATAGTTGCATCATCCGCGAAACAAGATCTGGAATGAGAAGTTCAAGCCGTTTAGTGATGGTAGATGATATGGACTCTGCAACCTAGATAATTGATTGTTTCAGTAAACTTAGTAAATGTTGTCTGGGTATGTTTATCAAAGATAATTACAATCTAAACAGGTGAACAAAAATGCACCTTGTTCTTTGTGATTTAGAAGTATGATATTATATTATATTATATTATATTCCAGAGTTTTCTTTGGTGATATGTATTTGAACATGTGCCATGTCTGTAAGGTCCTCAACTTGTTACTCCTAGCTTATGTATTGTCATAATCCCTTCATTTACACCACAAAACAGACTTGTAGATGAGAATTACATTCCACTTATATATTATAATCTAACCTTATTCTTAGTCGATATGAGATTTTTAACGCACCTCCTCTCATTGAGGAATACCCCAAATTGATATCATCTTAGTAAGTGAGTTCACACATAATTTAACCTCACAAAACTAGCTTCTAGAATGAGGATTGCATTCCACTTATATGTTGTATTCTAACCTTATTCATAGAAGACGTAGGATCTCCAACAAATTTTAATTACAGAATTAGGAGATTTAATTACATTCTATAATTAGGAGGGTTAATAGGCTGCAAGTATACTTTAATTTATTGTACAACATCATGATCTTGAATTATAGGGATAGATTGTGTCTATCATACATTAGGATCTTCCGTTACTAAGGTTTTTGTATTCTATTTAAGAGCAATTGCTCTTCTATAAATATTATCAGAAACAGTTTTTCTGATGTGTATGTTGTTACTTATTCAAATTTTGTATTAATTCACATTGCAGCTTGATATAGAAAACAATTCTGGTCAAAAGGTGTGGCAAGTGGTTGAGTTCATTTTTGGTAAGGACATCTAAACTGTGTATTTAGTTGTCATTTCTTTGATCTTGAAGTGAAGTCCTTCTTTGTACGATACAAGATGCTGCTGATTTTTTAAAGCAAAAAAATATCATTTTAGATAGCTTGAATTGAGTAGTTAAGCTCCCCCGACTCAAATCCTCTGCTTCAAATGTAAAAGAATATACTATATTATTTTGAATGTTTAAGTAAGATTTATATATTATGGCCAGGAGATGTTTTAGAGCCAGGATATTCAGTATAGTTTACATTAATTTTTCAATATTGCAGGGTTAAAAACAGACAAGAGAAAATAAAGAATTCCAAATTTCTTTGATTGATAGAAATTGTAATTTCTGATATAGATTGGTTGATTTTGATATTATTTATTTTGAAAAAATACGAGACAATGTGAGAAAAAAAAGAGTCAGGAATAGTCGTAAAGGTGTTTTTTTTGGGTTCTAAGTAAACTAAAACTTTTTATTCAGGAAGCATGTTTTTAAGAAAAAAGAACTGAGTGAATCTCACTTATAAATGCATCTCATAGGGATTAGCTTTTGCTGAGATTTTTATTTTCTTCTATTTTATTCAGTTTTACATGACATGCTTTTGTGCTTGCATGAACAAATAATTGTAGCACAGAATTTTAGGCTATAGCTTGATTTTATATATTTATCTGTGCTCAGTGCACGAGAAATAAAATCAGTTATGGGAATGTGGTATCCCTTTTATTATTGTTGGTTCAAATACTGTTGACAACTTTGGGGATTCTTTATTTTGCTTTGGTGCATTTTATTTTATTGTAATGCACAAAA